GAGAGAGAGAGAGAGTGTGTGTGTGTGTGTGTGTGTGTGTGTGCTCTACAGATCGTGCAGTCAGACGGGACTAACCGTAGACTCAATTGTCCGTGAGCCCGCAGTGACGTCCTGCCTTTGATATGACAGTATCAAAGAGCTGAAGCTGAGACTCTCTGACGGGCCGTGATATCAAAAGGACAGTTTGGACTTTTTTCCTCTTATCAAGGGAACCCTGATCCTTCCTCTCCTTCCTCTCTCTCTCTCTGATTCCAGACATTCTGTTCTTCTTGTAAATTTCCAGTGAGATTTCCCGTCCTCAGATTCTCTGTTCCTGACCGATCTACTGCAGGAACGTCGTTTGCACTGGATGACGTCAGTCGGATGTTCACACATCCCCGGTTTCTCGTTTTAGAGTGGGTCCGTGGAATAATTTAAATCTAATAGCAGTGTGAGGTTATGAAAAACAGCAGCTCGTGATAGAAAATCTCGATATCAAAGGTCACAAATCAAAGTGTGTCGAGTACAACGCTTCATTAATGCTGCTCATCTTCAGCGTAATGAACAAACCCCTCCAAATATGAGGAGAAGACACTTTCTCTTTCAGATTCCTGCCCTGATCCGTCAGAAGCGCAGACGTTATTATTGATTTCTTTATTTATTTATGGCGGGCTGATAATTGAAAAGGGCCTTGAAGCATTTCGGATATAATGGAGTCTAATTTGGTGGAACTCAAAGGACTTCTTGAATCATTTGTTTGGGCGACACTGAAATTAATTTGTGTGATTCTAACATGAATGTTGATGTTTGTGTCATTCTCATTTCTGCAGATCTCGTATAAAGCCGTCAGCTCCTTCGACCCGGTGCTGGATCTCTCTAACCAGAGCGGGAAGGTGGTTAAACTGGGGAATGAAACCAGCCACGTGTTTCTGGGTCTCTACCCCGGCTCCACGTACTCCTTCACCATCAGAGCCAGCACCGCCAAGGGCTTCGGACCGCCCGCCATCACCCAGGCCACCACCAAGATCTCAGGTGTGTGTCTGCAGCAGATGCTTCAATCTGAAACAGCATAGAAGAATGTGAAGTAACTCAGTGGGCATGCAAATGGCCCTAGCAACCACCTGAAAACCTCCTAGTTACCGCCCAGAACACTCTAGTCCAGCAACCACTTAGGAACCTCTTAGTAAACACACAAAATACCCTAGCAACCACCTGGCAACCCTCTAGTAACCACCAAGAACACCCTAGGAACAACCTAATTGCCCTAGCAACCCCCTAGTTACCACACAGAACACTCTAGCCCAGAAAATACTTAGGAATCTCTTAGTGAACACATAAAATACCCTAGCAACCACCTGGCAACCTCCTAGTAACCCCACAGAATGCCCTAGGAACAACCTAATTGCCCTAGCAACCCCCTAGTTCCCGCCCAGAACACTCTAGCCCAGAAAATACTTAGGAATCTCTTAGTGAACACATAAAATACCCTAGCAACCACCTGGCAACCCTCTAGTAACCACCAGGAACACCCTAGGAACAACCTAATTGCCCTAGCAACCCCCTAGTTCCCGCCCAGAACACTCTAGCCCAGAAAATACTTAGGAATCTCTTAGTGAACACATAAAATACCCTAGCAACCACCTGGCAACCCTCTAGTAACCACCAGGAACACCCTAGGAACAACCTAATTGCCCTAGCAACCCCCTAGTTCCCGCCCAGAACACTCTAGCCCAGAAAATACTTAGGAATCTCTTAGTGAACACATAAAATACCCTAGCAACCACCTAGTAACTACACAGAATGCCCTAGGAACAACCTGAGTGCCCTAGTAACCACTTAGCAACCCCCTAGTTACCAAACAGAACACTCTAGACCAGCAACCACTTAGGAACCTCTTAGTGAACACACAAAATACCCTAGCAACCACCTGGCAACCACCTATTAACCACACAGAATGCCCTAGGAACAGCCTAAGTGGCATAGTAACCACTTAGCAACCCCCTAGTTACCACCCAGAACACTCTAGACCAGCAACCACTTAGGAACCTCTTAGTGAACTCACAAAATACCCTAGCAACCACCTAGTAATCACACAGAATGGCCTAGGAACAACCTAAGTGCCATAGTAACCACCTAGCAACCCCCTAGTTACCACCCAGAACACTCTAGACCAGCAACTACTTAGGAACCTCTTAGTAAACACACAAAATACCCTGGCAACCTCCTAGTAACCACCAAGAACACCCAAGGAACAACCTAATTACCCTAGCAACATCCTAGTAACCACCCAGTGCACACTAGCAACCTCCTAGTGACCAAAAATGTTCTAGCAACCTCCTAATAACCGTCTAGAACACTCTAGTCCAGCAGCCACTTAGTAACATCATAGTAACTGCCCAGATCACCCTAGGAACCTCTTAGTTACCGCACAAAATGCCATATCAACTATCTAGTAACCACCCAGAACAACATAGCAACCTTTTAGTAACCAAAAATGCCCTAGCAACCTCCTAGTAACCTCATAGTAACCATGCAAAATACCCTAGCAACGACCTGGCAACCTCCCAGTAAATTATCTCCTAGTAAAATGATAATTTTTTACAAGTATTGAAACTTTTATGAGGCAAAGACCCTCCAGAAACAAAAAATAAAGATCTGAAAATGCAATTCATGACCTCCATTATACCTTTTTTGCTGTTTTAAAAAGATATCCTATCATTTACATCATCCATGTATTTCATTACTGAATGTGACAATTTTGGCATATTTGACATGAGATTAACCATTAGACCCAAAATTACTTTACGTAAATATGTGAATGCAAACTTGTTTATTGACATTTGGGGGAAACTCCATCACGTCTGCGTTTGTGCACTTGTGTCATGACTGTAGGGATTTCAGAGGCATTGAGTTGGTGTTTTAAAGCTTCCTGGTGTGTTTCCAGCTCCGTCGATGCCAGCGTATGATCAGGAGACTCCTCTGAACCAGACTGACAGCACGGTTACGGTGGTGCTGAAACCCGCTCAGAGCCGAGGCGCTCCTGTCAGGTATGATTACACTCAGCTCTTCTGCTCTCAATAGCAGTGGATCTCGTGATTCTCCATGCCCATCCTGATAGCATGTGAATGCAAACAGAAGCAAACACAAGCACGAGTGACAGCCGCAGGAAGTCTCCATCTGTTCTCGTCATGACTCCATTCAGCTCACAGCTCCAGAGTTTCTCTGCACCTCCGCTTCAGCTGGCTGTTTTTATCATTTTTTCCTCCTGTATTGTTTGTGGATTCCTCCGAGTGAGCGTCGTTCTTTGAAGCGGAGAACAAAGTGTGTGTGAGTCTTCTGAGCCTCGTCCCTGAACCGCTTTCATGTGTTTCTGACTGTGTCACCGCGGCCCCTGACTGTCCCTGCGCTCGCAACCGACGCCGCAAACACAGTCAGCGGGTCTCATTAGTAAACGCTGCTCGTCACTCAGGTCATCCCAATGGGAACATGTCCGGCTCATATTTCAGCCCAAATCAATAGGAAAATATGACATTATATATTTGCAGTCAGTAAATGAAGATTTTTGCATTATTTTCATGACGTTTTAGCTCATTTAAACAGGGCCATAACCACAAGCCCCCACGATATTTGATGTATATATTTGGAAATAGCTGCAGTACTCCATTGTACATCACTCTTTTTGTTACATGGATGACAAAAAGTTAAAAAGTTACATTTTTAGGCTGGTCTGCCTGTCAATGTCAAACGTCAAAATGACTGACATGGTCAATAAAATCAATGAAAGAGTGCGAAATGAAATATAAGTAGCTAAACATTTAATATTTGACAACTGTTTTATGACAGAAATGTTAAAGCGACCAAAGAGTAATATCCAGCAATGCAAACTACTCCATTTTTTATTTTATTTTATTTTATTTAGCTGTTTTGAAAATATATCCTATCACTTACATCATCCGTGTATTTCATTACTGAATGTGACAAAACGAGAAACATTAATGCAGCTGTTTTTGGCATATTTTACATAAGATTAAGTATAGTATAGTATAGTATACAGTATATTTTAAAAGAAAGGGATTATGAACTGCCTTTTTTATTATTTTGTACTGTTCTCTGAGGTCCACTTATAATGTTATTAAGATTTTGACATTAAAAACATAATAATTCAGAAGTGATAGTCTATTTTCTGTCCTGTTTTGACCCCGTCATCAGAGCGCTCTGTTTTAATAGGCGTAGCGAATTGTCGACTCAGAAGTAAACGCCCACTGCTGTGATTGGCTAACCAATAAATACTTTGTATATATCAAACGATCTGTAATAACAGACAAAGCAATAGTGAGCACGTAATAAAAACAGTTTCTCACACTTGTGTGGTGCGACATTACTGTCAGATCCAATATAGTCGCACAGCATCAGCTTTAGTTTCAGTCTGTCTGAAAATCCTGCGTCGAATCGTGCCTTGTTTGTAAACGAATCTGCGATGAAATCAAGTGAACAAACGATCAAGTTCTTACTGACGCGGTCTGGATCTTTATTAAAAATAAAGTTCATCCACTCTTTCCTAATGTTGGGATCAGAAGGAAGGCGATGCAAAGACTGAGTTTTCCACAGCTTGGCACTGAACAGTGTCTTGTTGTCTTCAGAGCATCTTTATCGTTTGGTTTCTGCGTAGACCTGCGTTCGCCTCTCGTTATTTACACTACATGCACGAATCAGTGGGTGGGGTTAAACCTGCAGTGCTGTAGAATCGGTGGGTGGGGTTAAACCTGCAGTGCTGTAGAATCAGTGGGTGGGGCTAAACATGCAGTGCTGTAGAATCGGTGGGTGGGGTTAAACAGGCAGTGTTGTAGAATCGGTGGGCGGGGCTAAACATGCAGTGCTGTTGAATCGGTTGGTGGGATTAAACAGGCAGTGCTGTAGAATTGGTGGGCGGGGCTAAACATGCAGTGTTGTAGAATCGGTGGGCGGGGCTAAACATGCAGTGCTGTTGAATTGGTCGGCGGGACTAAACATGCAGTGCTGTTGAATCGGTGGGCGAGGTTAAACCGGCAGTGCTGTAGAATTGGTGGGTGGGGCTAAACAGGCAGTGCTGTAGAATCGGTGGGTGGGGTTAAACCGGCAGTGTTGTAGAATCGGTGGGTGGGGCTAAACAGGCAGTGTTGTAGAATCGGTGGGTGGGGCTAAACAGGCAGTGCTGTTGAATTGGTCGGCGGGACTAAACATGCAGTGCTGTTGAATCGGTGGGCG